GTTGAAAATCAATTCAAAAATAGGCTTTCTAAACTTGAAGCTCATAAGGTTTAAAATTAATTCAAAATTGTCCTTTTCAAACTAAGGCTCAAATGATTGAAAATTAATTCAAAATTAAGCTTTCCAAACTAAGGTTTTTTATAAATAATTAAAATTTAGGCTCTTGAAAATTCAAATTTAGGCTCTTAGGTTTGAAAATTAATTCAAATATGAGGCTTTTGAAATTGAAGGCTACTCGTTTCACTCCCCCCTTCTGCCCATTAATTTTAATTATTATTCTTCTGATGCTAAGAGATCCTAACACTGTCATCCCCAGGTCCCAAGCCCCGGATATGAAAAGTAAAGGGTTGTGTTGGGTAGTCGATAGCTAACTTAAAATTTGTCGAAAAAACATGACATGAATCTTTTTAATAACAGTGTAAATGCTAGGGTGCCCCCTAATATTTGCAACAAAAGATAAAATATAAGAAATTATATTATAAAAATTGGTTTAAATGTAAAAACTTAGAGAATTGAGAAAAATATAAAATAGTCCGTAAGGAGTCTAAGAGAACAATCTGTTACGTTAAAAATTTTACTTTTAGTGATCTTTATAATATATTAGATACTAAAGATAACAAAAAATATGTGTATATACTAACCAAATAAAAAGAAAAGCAAAGTAAATATTTAACTCAAGTGTATTAAAGATGAAAATCAAAAGACGTTTTTCTTATAATAAGATATTCAATATCGGTGGGTGAGTTATTTTGATAAATTTTTTAATGAAGTTTCTGAAAATATGATCGACTTTAATGATCTTAATATCATTAATAATAAAAAAATATTTTATTTTTACCATCGCATTAATAAAAACGAAGTTGAGGACTTAAAGAAAACTATAGGAGGAAAGTTCGTAGGGCCTGATGATATCTCACATGAAGTGTGGAAATATTTAGGAGATTTGGGAATTTCTTGGCTCACTAAACTTTTTAATATTATTTTAAAAATTAAAAGATTCCTGAGGAGTAGAGAAAGAGTATTTTGATCCCATTTTTAAGAATAAAGGGGATGCACAAGAGTGTGCAAATTCTAGAAGAATTAAGTTGATGTGTCATATTTTAAAATTATGGGAGAGGATAACTGAACATAGGTTAAGATGTATTACAAAGATATCTTATAATCGGTTTGGATCTATGCCCGGCGGGTCTTCTACGGAGGCTATACATTTATTGAGAAGTTTGATGGAGAAGTATAGAGAGAATAAGAAGAATCTAAATATGATTTTTATTGATTTAGAAAAAACTTATGATAAAGTTCCAAGAGATATCCTTTGGAGAGTTCTAGGAAGAAATGTGTTGATATGACTTATATTCAAGTCATTATTGATATGTATATTAGATTTGTTACTTGTGTTTTAATAGGAGGATTGACCAAATATTTTCCTATTTTAGTTGGATTACATCAGGAATCGGCTTTAAGCCCATATCATTTTGCTTTAGTTATGGATGTTATTACTGGACATTTACAAGAGGATGTACCTTGGCGTATGCTTTTGCTAGTGATATCCTTCTTAGGGATAAGATTAGAGAAAGAGCTTAGGAAAAACTTATATTATGAATGTCTACATTGGAGTCTAAAGGCCTTTGTTTGAGTAGAAATAAAAGTAAATACAATGAATGTAATTTGAGTAGTAGTCTCAAGGAATGAATGTAATCTAGTGACAGGTTGTAACTATAGGTAATCAAATTATTAAAAGGGGTAAATGTTTTAGATATCTTGGGTCTATTATTCAGAGTGATGCTCATATAGATGGGGATCTTATTAGTAAAATTCAAGTTGGTTGGTTGAAGTGGAGGAATGCTTCGGGCCTATTTTGTGATAGAAAAGTACCGCTTAGACTGAAAAAAAAAATTCATTAGATGATGGTGAGATATGGTGGTGAAACCTACAATGCTCTATGGCACAGAATGTTGGCCTTTAAAAGAAAAGCATCAAATTAAGTTAAGTGTTGCCGAGATAAGAATGTTTAGGTGGATGAGTTGCTTGACACTTAGAGATAAAATGCGAAATGAATATATCCGTGATAAGGTTGGTGTAGCTCCTGTAGCGGACAAAACGAGACAAAATGCGAAATGAATATATCCGTGATAAAGCTGGTGTAGCTCCTGTAGCGGAGAAAATTAAAGAGAGTCGTCTTAGATGGTTTGGTCAAATTAAACATCGCCATCTGATGATCCGGTTAGAAGAGTAGATTTAAACGTCGACCATCTGATGATCCGGTTAGAAGAGTTGATGTTTTAAATTTGACTTATGTTAAGAGAGGCAGGGGTAGACCTAGAAAGACTTGGGCATATTGTATAAAAAATGATCTTAACTTGTTAGAATGAATGAAAAATATGACATCATATTGTATAAAAAATGATCTTAACTTATTAGAATGAAATGAAAAATATGACATTCAATAGGACGCAATGGAGAAAAAGGATTCATGTAGCCAACCCCACTTGGTGGGATAAAGGCTTGTTGTTGTTGTTCCTATTTTTGTTGATGCTAAGAGACCCAAAAGCTGCACATTCCCTCTTGCTGGAATCAATCCAGTCTAGCAAGTCCAAAGCAGAGAAATTTTATACCTGTGTAGTGCAGCGAGCAACTCCATCCCATTTGTTATAAGTGCCCCTGCTATTTTCTGTCCAGATTCCGAAATCCATCCTAAAAGAACAAATAAAAGGCATGAGTGATTAAGCCAAATATTAACTACGTAACTCCCAAAGATCTTTCGGCTTATTAAAGAATATACCCCACAACAAAGAATGCATAGCCGTCCAGATGGTAGCTTTGAACAGTCGAAGCATTGTTCTGAAATATAATTTCCATAAAACCTTTATAAGTACCATTAATAGTAGATGTGTCAAGTTTTGCAGGTCTGTTCATATTTCGATTCGGAAAGTCTAGCTTATAAACTCCTGGAACATTGAACTGCTGTGCAAGCTTCAAAGGTGTCGCAGGATCAAGGTAAGAAATACCATTAAGAGTAGTTCGTAATTGCCCATTTATACGTTCTGCGGGTACATTAAGCAATACATACACATCAGTTACGGTAATTTGACCATAGCGAAATGAGCCCTGTGGATTTGGCCGAGCAGCACCAGCAGAGACGTTCCATCTGAAATTAGCCAAAGTAACAAAAATCATCAGCTAGCTTCAAGGTTAGACAAACATAAGCACATTTACACATGTTGGGGGATTATCATGTCATGATTTGAGTACCTGATTGATCTGGCTTGATTCATTGAGAAGTATGTATCATCTTTGTTGGGACCATCAGGAAGTGGACCAGAAGCAGGACCTTGAGAATTAGAGTAGTGCAATATGGCGACTCCAGTTACTTGATCCCTGAACATTTCATTAATAAACCGAGCACTTGACACAATATAGTAGTCACTGCTTGCATTTTGATCCATGGTAACCAAGAATGAATATGACTGACCAACATGTATGTCCATGTTTGTATAATTTTGTTGCACAGTGTAAGACCCTTCTGTCTCCACAAGGAGCAGGTTATGATTCTGGATTCGGAAATTTAAGCTAGTTGATATGCCTACATTATGCACCCTTATCCTGTATATTTTCCCTGGCATAAGTATAACTCTTCAATCAAACAATAAAACAAAATAGAAATCACTACTGATTCCAAATGTCACTCATAATAACAAAAGGCATTTAAATACATTCCACCCAATTCTTATGTGTACAGATGTAGAGAAAATCGTTCTCTTATTTTCCAATCTTCAAAATACAACTCCCCCTTAGTATATAAAAGAGAACTGGTGCAAACTTAATTATGTTGATTACAACTTACCAAAGAAAAACAACTAAGGAAGTATGTTCAACATAATAAAGTAAATAATAAAAGAGAATAAAGCTAAATTAAGAAACTTAGAATTCCACACTCCCCCTCAAGTTGGTCATAGATGTTGTAAAGACTCAGATTGGTATTAAAATATATGAAGTTGCCTGGAGGTAGAAATTTAGTGAAGATATCAACGACTCGAAGATGGAATGTCGATAAGTGAAAAATGCATCAATTGCCCTTCTCAGAGATCAAATGTTTATCAATCTCAATGTGTTTGGTCTTCTCATGTTGCACAGAATTATTTGCAATACTAATAGCAGTCAGGCCGCCACAAAACATAATTATAGGATTGCTGTTGAAGTATCCCAACTCATTTAGTTACCTTAGATCCATATTCCTTTACATATTTTCAAAACAAATGTCAGGTACTCAGATTCTACACTACTTCTAGAGACCATTGCCTGTTTCTCACTCCTTCATGTGATAAAATTTTCCCATACATAAGAACAACACCTAGAAGAAGATCTTCTGACTGTGAGTTCTCCTGCCTAACTAGCATTAGTGTAAACATCGACCATCCTGTTGTCTAATTTCTTAACAATAATCCACTGTCAGAGATTTTCTTAAAAAAACTTCAATATTCTATAAACCATCTCTATATGTTAATCATCTGAACTGTTCATATGTTAACTCACAATGTCGACGGAGTAAGCGATATCAGATCTAATGTGTGACATGTAGATAAGTTTAGCCATCAATCTCTTGTATCTACCTTTTTTCCACTGATGCCTTTTATCTTCCTGAATATAACATTTTGTTGAAATCCATAAGAATCTAAGCAGCTTTGCACCCCAACATTCTTGTTTCTTTTAGTAGGTCTAGGATGTACTTTCTTTGGGATATCACAAACCCATCTTAAACCTGACAACTTCCATTCCCATAAAGTATCTCATCGCTCTTAGATCTTTAATTTCAAATTCAGTGTCAAAAACCTCCTTAATCTTCCTAATATTTTTTGAAATCATCACATATCAAAATCATATCATCTATATAGACAATGAGTATAGCTTTCTTACCTCTCTTTGTATGTTTAATGAACAGTGTCAGATCAGGATATACCATTACCTTTCATAGTCTTGGCAATCTTGTCAAACCAAACATGTGGAGATTGTTCGGAAGCATAAAATGACTTTCTTGGTTTAGAAACCAGATGTTTATTTGAGTCATTTTCCAATCCCATTAAGATCTCCATATACACATCTTACTCAAGTTCTTCGTTTATTTGAGTCATTTTACAATCCCATTAGGATCTCCGTATACACTTTTTCCTCAAAACCTCCATTCAAAAATGCATTCTTGATATCATGTTGATATAGTTCCTACTCTGTGTTCACTGACAAGAAAAGAAGAACTCTTGCAGTGTTCAACTTGGCCACTGGTGCAAAGGTCCTTTAGTAGTCTATCCCATATGACTAAATGAAACCTTTGGCCACCAACCGAGCCTTGAACCTCTCAATGCCCCAATCTACTTTGTACTCAACATTGAACGCACATTTGCTCCCAACAAAACTTTTATCTGGAAGAAGCTTTGTAAATGTCCATGTGTCATTTAGATCAAGTGCTTGGATCTCCTCTTTAACTGCCCTTTTTTCCATTTTGAACTTTAAAAGATTTTATAAATTGGGAAAAACTTTCTATTTGAACTACGGACTTAGCTCTACGTGCGGACTCCTAGTAATATACCACCATGTGTGCTATATCGAGTTGTCGACCGTTTTATTTTAAAAACTTTAAAAACTTGGTTTTATGATTTTTTGAAAAAGAAAGATGAGTTTTATAAACATGAAAATAGTTTTGATGTAAATTTAATTTTTTGAAAATAATATTTTAATTTAAAAATAAATGAGACCAAGCCAGTCACGAGTCTCACATTTTGGATAGTTTGGATAACTAAGCACGATACCACGAGTAATATACTTATCCCAAAGAATAAACATATAAATTGTAATAGGCTCAATTACCTAAACTAAAGAATTTGTGACATCCGTTTGGTCTGCGAAATATTTTATATGAGGTCAACAAGTTCCCCTACCTAATATAAGGATTAGATAGGGTTTATTTTACCTGAGTTCCAAGTTCCCTATAGGGCAAGCCCTTATAGTTAATTACATCTCAAATGACCGGGATCATTCAAGAAAACTCTCGATTAAGATCAGTGGTTTTATCTTCAAGATTTCAAAGTTTAGGTTTCCAAAATTGAACATGAGAAAATCAAATGGGAATGGTTCAAAATAGGAACAGTCATTTGCAAGAATCCAAAAGAATGAAGAGTTGGAGATATTACAGATCCAAGGAAAACCCCGGTGACTTCCCAACTATCTTATTGTTTGGCTTTATATCTTTGAAATGATGTTATTTAATGTTTAATCCTGCAGTTTATTTAGAATTTAGGACTTATATTCGCACGATATTTGACTGTGTAAATAGCCTAAAAAAATAAGAGGATTTACACCGTATCGAACAGTAACCTCGGAATCCTAAAATGTTAGGACTTATAATTGCACAACAGGGTTATGCAAAAACCTAAAAGTGATATGTGAGGGTTTACATTGCGTTAGGCAAACTACCTCGAAATCTTATGGGTTGTTGTTTAAACTAAAGCAAGTGATCGGTGATGTAAATTTGTTTTGAAGTTGCAGATTCATCTCGAAGTTGTTCCTCGTCGTGTTGCCCACGGTGTTCGCTCCAAGCTCCTCATCGTAGCAACTTCAGGTTTGTTATTAATCATATGTAATCACTAGGTTTTCATATACTAAGACATAGCGTGTATCAAAGCAATAAAACATGCGGTATAAAAGAAGAGAACAGTATAACATGCTCGGAGAACAGTATAACATGTTGTGAAATAAAATGTTGTAATGTAAATCAAACCTGTATATTTGGGAAACCTGCTGCTCATTTATGTTAGCTATTATTCACTGTATAAACAAAAGAAAAATTGCCTGGAAAACTCGAGAAAATCGACGAATAATCCACGAAAGAAAAACTCGAGAAAATTGACGAGTAACAATTCAAATCAAACTATCAAAACCTCGGGAAAATCCTGATAAAACATACAAAAAATTCGAAAATAGGGAACCGCAAGCACTCGGGTCGGCATCACAAGCACTCGGTTCGGGGCTAGGTTCAGATATTATATATTTGTACTCGAGGGACGTCGAATGCTACTATCAGCCACCCGGATATATAAAACTCGCCACTCCACTAGAAGAATATCTTACTGAACCTAACTTAATAGGGTACTTCTTAACCCAGTATCGGTAATCAACAAGTGGACACCCAAGTTGTAACACATTTAAAATTTATATTTAACATGCATATATATTTCAGGCATACAAAAGGAAAGTTACATTAATTTTATAGTGAAAATATCGTGTCTGTTCTTATTAATTTGTTTTATCAATTTTTTTTAAAAAAAAGAATAATTGTCCATGAGTCGATCACGTCATCAGACGTAAGACCGCCAACAACCTAAGAAGGTACGGGTCCCCCGCTAGTCTTGTGTCGATGAATGATACTTTCATCCTACAGTTCATCAGGCCCCAGAATTGAGTCCTGGCGTTGTAGTATGAGATATCATTCTGCTCTACCACCGACGTGTCTTTGTCATCATCGCCCTAAGCCCCAAAATAAAACCGACCTACTTGCGACCTTGCTTGATGGTTTCATATATAGCATAAGACTATATATGAGCACTTATGTATCAAACATAAGCACAGAAAACTAAACCAATAAGCAAGAAAAAAAAGAATAAAAATGGGGACGAGAGAGAGGAGGAAATGATCTATCCAAAAAGTCAAAAGAATAAAGGGTGAAGCAACTCTCAAAACTGTGACAAAAAGACCGATCTAAAGAAGAGAGCCTAGGATCCTTGAATCAATCCAAAAAGGATATTATTTTCTCAAATTTTATAATTGGATCAACCTAAGAAGGGTATCCTTTCCAAATGACAATTTTGTGAATCTTCAAACCTTTCATGAATCCAGTTTGCATCAACCTTATGTTTCCTCCAAATGAAATTGTACAAGCCATTTATATTTCACAAATTAGATGGAAAATAATCCAAGGACATCAAACTTCTAAACTTCCAAAAAATCATGCCAATATTAAAACCATTCAATTGCAATGAGATATGAACCAAACACCACATATAGAAACCCAAACAGATGCTCTCGGGTAGGAGCAGCAGGAGGAGCCACCAACCACACTCAATCACACAAGAGCCACAAGAGAAGGCTCACGGGTAAAAGCAGGAAGGAAAGCAAGGACTCACGGGTAAGGCCAGGAAAAAGAGCAGGATCTTACGGGTAAGGCCAGGAAAAAGAGCAGTCAAGCCTCACAGCAAGCCAAGCCCACAAGTAGAAGAAATGCACAACCAAGCTTCATCATAAACTTACAATTTAAGACAGTAAACAGGACAAATAATAGGACAAAGCTCACATAGAACAAAGCTCACGGGCAGGGGCAGTAGAAGCGAACCAACTATGTACCAACTATGTCACAGACCAAGGAACCTCCACAGTAAGGCTTACGGGTAAAGGGCAGCAAGAGGAAGGCCTCTTCCTTCTGAGCTCACGGGTAAAGCCAAAAAAAGAGAAAAACCACCACATGTATTGCCATTGCATTACCTTTGATATGCATAAGAGAGTGAATGGACAAGCTATCATAAACTATCCAAACATAAGCCATTTTCATCAAGTAAGATATAGTAATTAATCAATCAGCTTATCCCAAACATTTCCATATAGAAGTATATATTGAAATCATGAACTTTGGGATGACAAACTTGTTTACCAAAAAAAAATCTTAAAAAGGGAGCATTATATCCAGAGTTTCCAACCCAACCGAACCCAACACAAAGGGACAAGCAACATAAACAGGTGTTCTCGGGTAAGGGCAAACAACAGAGAATCAAGGAACCAAAGCCAAGGGAAATCACCATACCACATTTAATATAAAAGAGCCACGGGAGATGGCTCATGGCCAGGAACAGTAATAGGAAAGCCACCAACCCACAGGGAAGCTCACAACCGAAAGGCTCAAGGCCTAGAAAAGTAATACAGAGGCCCAAAGCAAGCCATATATTGGGCTAGAAACAACACCTAACCAAGCCAACACAAGGCACAAATCGAGCCCAGCACAGGGGCAAAACTAAAACATTTCAAAGCAAAAAATCGATCCCAACACAGGGGTAAACCGAGCCCTGTAAAAAGAACAAAACAGGGGGTCATAGAGAGTAAACCGAACCCAGCAGGAAAGGGCAAACAGAAATAGAATTCCAGTCAAAATCGAGTCCATCATGTAGAGTCAAAATAAAACACAATCTCAACTCAACTAAAACCAGCTAAAAGGGGTAAAAACAGATAAACCTCCAAGCCAAACTCCAGATCTTAGGCAAAACCAAGCCCAATATAAGAGCTAAAAAAAAAGAATGCAATTTAAGCCAAACCGAGCCCTCCAAAGGGGGAGAAACAGTAGAGAACTTTCAGCTAAGACATAATACCAAAAGAAACCAAACCGAGCCCACTAAATAGGTCAAAAAAATAATGTAAAAATTTCAGTTAAATCCAGCCTAGAAGAAGCCAAAATCGAGCCCAGCAAAGGAGCCAAAAATAGAGAAAATTTTCATCTATATATCCAATCTAACATAGCCAAAACCGAGCCCTTCAAATGGGTTGAAACAGAGAACATTTTTTTCATTTATAATTCCCTTCTAACATGCGCAAACCGAGTCATCACATGCGCAAACCGAGCCTAGCATAAGGGCAAACCGAGCCCACAAGAAAAGCAAAATAAAAAATATTAAAATATTTCTCCTTGGAGCTTCGCTTCATATTCCAAAATATCATGCCAACATATGTTTCAAATAGAATAGAATAACACGAAACATTTAAGTGTGCATACATCACTAAAGCCAACATCTTTCAACACTAAAATGGATTACTGCATAGATTTTAGGTGAACAAGCATTAATCCAAAATTTATATTCATGCCCTTTTTATGTATTTTAAACAGGAAGGAAACATAAGCCATCATTCTTCTTTTAATAGTAAGCTGCTTCAGCAAGAAGCAAAGAAAGAAAGCCACAATTTCCAGCATATAAATAAAGAAATCTTAAAAGTATAAGAAGAAGATTTATATGTGAGAAGGGACTTAAACCTGCTTTCCCTAATATCTTATTTCAACCAGTCCACATAGTGTCTAAATCAGATCCAACAAAAGTATTAAAGGCCCATTTTTTTTTATATCAATGCCTTTGTGAAATGGCTGTTAAAACAAATCAAAAGTCTCGTATATGCTTTTTTTTTATTTTAGTACTCCCAACATGTGTCGA